CCTCCTCTACCCCCTCCCTTTAAGATAAACTGTGTAGTGTGTGTAGTAATACATTTCAAATAAATTACAACTCAATCTATGACTTCTACATGTGAATTTTATAAGGAAATATGAGTGCCAAGTCATCAGGATAAGCTTGGAGTTGAAAAAAACTTACTCTGCTTGATTCCAGTCCTATTCCTCTGGAATTCCACTGGAATGATCCCATTCCTGCAGGAATAGGTGGGGCACTGTAAAGTACTGCGAGAATGCGACAGACGCAATCCAATCTGTGTGTCCTTGTAATGGCTCTCCCACTGGCTTCCCCATCTCCACATCCCAGATCCGAATTGTCTTGTCGTCTGACCCAGAGACTATGCGCCTGCCGTCAGGCGAGAATGCGACAGAGTTGATCTCATCTGTGTGTTCTCGGAATGGTTCTCCCACTGGCTTCCCCGTCTCTGCATCCCAGATCCGAATTGTCCGGTCGCACGACCCCGAGACAACGCATCTGCCGTCAGGGGAGAGTGCCACAGACTGGATCGAAGCTATGTGTCCACTCAATATGAAGATGCAAGCTGAGGTAAGAGCCATGGGTTCAGTCCTTCACACAAAAGAAGAAAGGTGGGTTTCACTTACAATCCGTAAACTGCTCTAGAAACTGCTGTGCTCTCTCCTGGTAGCATTTTTCGTTACTATGTCGAAGATCTGCTATGCGAGGACAGATTTCTATCGATGGACTTAGTTTTAAATCCGATCGATGACCCCCGAGGATGTCTACCGTCTTGCCCAGGAGTTGAAACGTGATCTCAGGCTCAAGAGCAGGTTTCCTCAGCTCCTCAACCAGTTGATCGTACACTGCTTGTCGTCCATCCGCTGAACGTAGAACAACAGGTTCAGTCGTTCACAAAAGAATGGTGGCTTTCACTCACGATCCGTAAACTGCTCCACAAACTGTTGTGCTCTGTCCTGGTAGCATTTTTCGTTACTATGTCGAAGATCTGCTATGCGAGGCCAGATTTCTATCGACGGACTTAGTTTTAAATCCGATCGATGACCCCCGAGGATGTCTACCGTCTTGCCCAGGAGTTGGAACGTGATTTCAGGCTCGACTCAGAGAGCAGGTTTCCTCAGCTCGTCAATGAGTTGATTGTACACTGCTTGTCGTCCATCCGCTAAATGTAGAACAACAGGTTCAGTCGTTCACAAAAGAATGGTGGCTTTCACTCACGATCCGTAAACTGCTCCACAAACTGTTGTGCTCTGTCCTGGTAGCATTTTTCGTTACTATGTCGAAGGTCTGCTACAACTTGAAGAGGACAGATTTCAACTGACAAACTTAGTTTTAAATTGGCTCGATGACCCCCGAAGGTGTCTACCGTTATGAAGGCCGTCTGTGGACAAAACTGTTTTTTTTTAAAAAAGACCCAAATTTAAAGAAATATTGCTGACAAAAGTCACTGATAGTCAACAATCTTCAACAATCTTTGACAATCTTCAGCTTTTGTCAAAGATTTTTAACAATTCTGAACAATTGTCAACTTAGTCATGTTCTTTTTTTGTAACAAATGTTGACAATCTATAACTATCTTTCAACTTCAACAATGTCTGAGTTTCTTCCACGTTCTTGCATAAAGTTGACAAATGTCGACAATCTTTGGCCTTCTTTGCTTTCTCTTACTTTTTCTGACTTTGTCTAACTTTGTCTCACTTTCTCTGACTTTTTTTGATTTCTTTAGAATCCATATCTGCA